TGGATTTTTTTTATGATTAAAAACCAGACTGTTTTTTATGAACAATATTTAAGAAAATATTTATCTATGTTGTGTGTTAATATATACAACATAATATTGTGGCTTTATAAGACTTATGACTGTGAGGGTCAAATTAATTTTTACTCATATAAAATCACATCTATGTAAGAGTTATCAGAGAATTTGTATTTACCACTCCCCTTTTCCCCGAAATAAAACATAAGAATCTGAAGTCTTAATCTTAAAAAACAAAGATCAACTGATATGACAAATAATACGCTAAAGCTTAGGACTGAGAGGGTTAGAGCTATTTGACAATGTGACCCCCTTCCCCCCCCCCCCCCCCCCCGTTAGAAGTATTCGGAAAATTTGAATTTTGACGGTGTGTCGACTTGTTCGTTGAAAATTCGGCTAGGCAATTAAAGTATGTCTTGTAACAAAGCAGGGTTTATTCATATTCATATCACTCTTACATGTTCTCGTCCTGATATGCATGTAATATTTGCCACTGTACGTAAAACGCACCGCTTTTCCCCGAAATAAAACCAAAAAATCTTGACTTAATCAAAACCGATGCTATTTGGATTTCCAGATTGTCAGAGACGGTTTGTCAACTAGTTTGTTAAAAATTCGGCTAAGCAAGCAAAATATGTCTTGTACAGAACCAAGATTTATTCATATTCATATCACTCTTACATATTCTCGTCCTAATATGCATGTAATATTTGCCACTGAACACTAAACACAAATTCAAATGACGGATGCCATATATCAAACAGGATCTGCTTACCCTTCTGGAGCACCTGAGATCACCCCTTTTTTGAGGGTTTCGTTTTGCTCAGTCTTTGGTTTTCTATGTTGCGCCTAATATACTCTTGTTTGGCTTTTGATCTTTTTTCTCTCTTTTATTTCGGCTGATGAGTTTTTGTCATGACATTGTCAGTTTGGTTAAGAGTTTTACTATCCCTTTTGTATCTTTCGCCTTCTTTTATCCATTTTTTTGTATTTTTATTCAGTTTTTTTTTTTCGATTCTCCCGTCCCCTGAACAGTATAATAGTTAGATAAATGAAATTAGAAACCCTTTTCAACAAAAGTTGATCTACAAGTAACTCGACGTGACCGAAATTGTAAATTTCTTCCTCATTAGGGATATTGCCCTTAGGGTAGATCGGGTGTCTTCCGCCATCTTAGATTCTCATATAGCACAACACAATCAGTATAGATCTAAAAAATATACAAATTTTGAGAGAGGAATGTTATTCATATGTAGTACTTTTCATCTTGATGAAGAAAATTATGTGATTTATCTGATTAAAACGACTATTTGTTTTTGAATACAGAACGTTTTTTGCATATTTTTTTCCAACTTTTCCATTTAAGGGGAGATAACTCGGATAACATTATTTTTTGTCGTTTTATATTTTTTTTAATTTTTTGCCATAGCATTGTCAGTCTGTTTTCGACTTATGAGTTTGAAATCCCTTTGGCATATTTCGTCTCTAATGATGGAATGTGTAGGGACTTTATCTATTTTGTTTTGTAGACAGAAAACAAGTCTCGTGATCCCAATTTTTATTTTTATTTTCTAAAATTGAGTTTTCCATACATGTATAGTTTATACAAAATCTGACAATACTGCATAACCTGTAGCTTGCAAAATGTTCTATGGCCCAAACTTTTTATTATGTTTTTCAAAAAAGAATAAACTACATTTTGGCAAATAATTAAAAAAAAATATACCGATTTTAGTTTAGACCACACTCATGAAAACTATAAGAGAGAGAGAAACTGTTGACATAAAAAAAAACATATCTACAAATTAATCAAAGCAATACCAAAATAATTCATGCACTTAAACAATTTTCACAGATTTTTGATTTTTTTCTTTTTCTTTGAAAACACATATAGATAGAGAGAAACTGCAAAGAACCAATAAAAATCACTATGAACAAGAAAATAAGTGACGGAAATCATTAATTGGCTTCTTATTATAAGTTATAGGGGTCATTGTCCATGAATGACTTTACCAATTTAAAAAAATAAAATATTCTCCGAGTGGATATATGGATAAACCTGGGCACTATCTTACTTGGTGCTGGTTGGCACTGCTGTAAATGATGTATTTTTTTTTTAGAAAGTTGACGATTTAGGCTGGAGGCTCTAGGTCAAATTTCATTAGGTTTCATAGACTTCATGTATGAGCGAAAAGTATACAACAGAATATACCATACTTTATGTTTGGGTTGGCCCCATGTAATAGGATTCTTCCACCTATCAATTCATCCATATGGATACATTCGAATTTTATAGATTATTATTCAATCAATAATTTCATTATTTTGTTTGGTTTTTTTTTTTTTTTGAAGGGGGAGAGGTCACATTATTTTACAGTTCTACTCTTTAGCGTATCATTTATCAGAACTGTTGGGTTTCATTTTTTAGATTAAGTCCATATTATTTTCCTTTATTTCGGAGAAAAGGGGCGGTATAAAATTAAAATTATCCGATAACTCTGACACGGATGTGGTGTAATAAGCTTTAATTTTAGTAGATCATTTCCCAGAGCATTTGAATTTTGTTAGAGGAGATAACACAGATTAAGGCATAAGACTTTGTATTTCCTGTCAGTGATATATTTTTTTTATCGTGTAAAAGGAATTTATACGAGAGAAAAAAAACTAATCACATGAGGATTATTATAAAAAGTTGTTTAATCTTTACAAAAATGAACAGTAACAAAGCTTATTATGTAAACGCTGCATGAATAAACGGGAATGTGGGTTATGCATAACTGGGACAGCAATCCAACGACAAAAAAAAAATCAAAAGACATAGTGAGGGTAACACATTAAACAGAATTCATCAAAGAATTGTCATTAAAATTGAATTCTTAAAAATAACGAAAAACATTAAGTTATGACAATTACCGACGAGGTTCCTGAACAGATACACGGAAATATGATTGCCACAATATTATGTTGTATATATTAATAATTTAATTTTGGATGTAACACGTCTTCTGATTGGCTGAAAGTGTTTTGTCTATCAGCTCATAGACATAATTTTGTCATGTGACCGTGACGTCATCAACGTTTTTATCATGATTTACGCCTCTTTAGAATTAAATTATAAGGAATGACTGTAATATTTTTTCTGTCTATTCGAAATAACCTAAAAAATGTGGTGCACACTTTTAAATAACCCGCTACGCGGGTTATTCAGTGTGCACCACATTTTTGATGTTATTTCTTCATAGACAGAAAAAATGTTACAGTAATTCCTTAAAGAAACAACATAGATAGATATATTCTTAAATATGGTTCATCAAAAAAATTCTGACAGATTTTGTTTTTTTTTATCCAAAAATTTGCATAAAATCCTAACAAAACATGTAGAATATGCAAAATTGTATTCAAGTGTACTGTATAGCGATGAGTAATTCTTTTGCTTTATGAATATGTGGAAAACGTTCTTTGTATATCATTTTGCTTCTTGCGTTAAATTTCATTAATATTTATTAATTTGCAAATGAAAAAAAAAACCTGTCCCTCGCTCTTTTCCATAGAATTGCAGTTTCAATTCACATAACTCTGTTATGTTGACGCATCATTATTGTCTTTCAATTTAACATCAAACGATCTAAACTTTGTACTATAATAGAAGTCAACACCAAAAATCTTCAATTCTGCACAAATATATGTCATCCTATCATTGTTTTATTTTGACTTTACGTTATGTTTTTATACTGTTTCAAGTCAAGACCGAACTACTTCAAATTTACATCGTGTAGTTTCAAGTCAACACATTGTAAGATAAGCCTCTCGTGACGTCATAATGATAAAACATCATGCTATCTTAGCTGAACAACACGTACTTTTAACTGTACATCGTGTAGTTTTAAATGAGCATATTGTATGGCAAGCCTATCGTGATATTATTATGATATAAGATAGTGCTATCATAGCTCAACATCACGTACTTTCAACTGTACGTCGTGTAGTTTTAAATGAGCATATTGTATGGTAAGCCTATCGTGACATTCTAATGATATAACAACGTGCTATCTTAGCTTAACATCACCTAGTTTCAACTGTACGTTGTGAGTTTTAAATGAGTAAATTGTATAATAAGCCTATTGTGACATTATAATGATATAACAACGTGCTATCGTAGCTTAACATTACAAAATTTCAACTGTACGTCGTGTAGTTTCAAGTGAGCATCTTAGCTTAACACGTTGCATCGTGTTGTTTTAAGTCAACAAAGTGTATGGTAAGCCTTTCGTTTCAATATAGTGGTGTAGCATCGTGTTATCTTACCTTAACATCATGTACTTTCAACTGTGCATCATGGTGTTTTAAATCAACAGATTGCATGTTAGACCTATCGTAATATCACAATAATATAACATCGTACTATCTCAGCTCAACATTTATTAATAACAAGTCAGCACCATACATTTTAGCTATTCATTTTATTTGTTATCATAGCTATCGAAGTGGATGACTGAGCAGTATCCATCTGCAAGCTACCACCATGCAACGTCAACTTCACATCATGTATATTAAACTCAACGTTACGTGTGTTTGGCATATCATCACAACATCGTGACTTATCATTATACTATCACGACTAAAGCACTTGTCATTGCAAGTCAACATTGCGCAGATTCAACTTAGCATATTGTAATTTTGAGTTAGCATTTTGATGACTCAATTCAACATTACGCTGTCTTAACTTTACATTTTAAGCTTCATTATAACGTTTTGTAAATCTCTAATATATGACAGCTGAGGCTTTCCATAATAATCTATCAAAATTGCAGTTTTGAGCAATATTTAGGACTTTGCAGTATCTAGACATTCGAAATACGGCGTTAAAACCTCCAAGTATACACAAATAGTTGTGATACTGCGAATTGTAGAAAGATTGAAAGACTATGGAAAAATCTCAGTGTGAAATGTTCTCTACCTCACCTCTGATCTTTTTTTTTCTCCAGAAGGCTGATATTGCAGTTGGACCAATTTCAGTGATGGCCGAGAGAGAAAACGTTGTCGACTTTACTGTTCCATATTATGACCTCGTAGGATTGACTATACTCATGAAGAAACCTAAGTTTGATTACAAAATTACAAAATTTATTGAAGTTTTAGACAATTATGTGTGGCTGTGTATCATCGCTGCGTTTTTCTTATTTAGTGGACTACTGTGGGCCTTTGATAAATTTAGCCCCTATAGTTACCAGAATGATAAAACGCTTTGGGATGGACAAGGACCAGAGCCTAGGGTTTTCTCTTTCAAAGAAGGAATTTGGTTTTGTATGATGTCACTAACACCACAAGGTAACACTTTTTAGTTCATATGGCTTAACTTAAGGTTTCATTTAATTTTCTAATTCAAAATAGAAAAAAAAGTTTTATATAATAAAAGTTTTAATAGACAGGATAAGTGTCATTTTATTATTTTCACGACTTATTTTTAAAATACAAACAAACATTCAATTATAATTTCAGGCGGTGGTGAAGCACCTAGAGCATTATCAGGTAGACTTATTGCTGCCACTTGGTGGTTGTTTGGTTTCATTGTTATTGCAACATACACAGCAAATCTGGCTGCTTTCTTGACGGTTTCAAGAATGGATGAGCCAATAAAATCCTTAGATGATCTATCGTCTCAGTACAAGATTCAATATGCGCCAATGAATGGAAGTACTGGCCTTGTTTACTTTAAAAGAATGGCAGAAATTGAACAGAAATTCTACACGTAAGCAGACTTTCCTATTCCTTATATAAAAAATGAAACCCACAATTAAAATAAGTTATAAAGATTATATATTTTCTAATTTTATGCTCATATTTTTATTCTAGTTGTTGTTACAATGTTTATCCATATCTGAAAGTGTGTAATTTTAAATATTAAGCATGACTTATCATATTGCCAATTTTTCGTTTGTATAATAATTTTCTTTGTATTTATTTATCCTTTGCTTTTTAATGTTTTGGTTTGAGTATTCCTGATAGAAATAAATCAAAAAACAAATTTGGACGCACGAAATCTACAAAGTGGTATTTTTATTTTCACATCAAAACTGTGACCTCGTCTTGTTGGCAATAATGTCGTACAAGCTTTAGTTGTAGTTATTTCTTATGTCTAACGTTATCCTTCTTTGTCTTTATCGTAATGTCTTTTAAATAAATGTTTGTGTATGGTTATGATTTTTCATTTCTTTGTGTTTTTTGTTGGTTTTGATTTGTTGCTTACCACCAGAGACCAAACGGCTAGAATATAAGCAGGTCTCATGTGAATGTAATATTAACAATTATTATACAAATGCATCCGTTTTTAAATTAGTTCAGTTATTGTCAACAAAGAAGGTACAGAAATTGTCTAATTCAGGAAAATATATAAAATACGCCACAGATATAAAATTTTCAGGACAATTCTTTGAATGATTTATTTTTTGTATTCTTGCCTCCGATTGTATTTAAAAAAAAATGTTCTGTTATGATATACATATAAAAATAAGGAGATGAGGTATGATTGCCAATGAGACAACTATCCACCAAGGTTCAAATAAAGTGGATGTAATCAATTAAGTTCAAATAAAGTGGATGTATATATTAATGATAAAAATATAAGCTGTATTGCTTCCGTGTTTTGAAATAAACCAAACTAACATGAAATCCTCCTGAATATGTATACATGTTTTTATTTTCCACTGTGCGTTAAGAAGCCATCCATTAATGCACTAGTTTAGTCTGCACAACCACATATGATCGTTTCAGAATTTGGAAGCAGATGAGTTTGAATGACAGCTTGGATGCTGTGCAAAGGGCTAAACTTGCTGTTTGGGATTATCCAGTTAGTAACAAGTACACAAAGCTGTGGGAAACCATGCAAGATACAGGATTTCCCAACACTCTAGAAGAGGCCACTACGAGAGTCATTTCGGGAGATTTTGCGTATATTGGTGAGAAGTCTTTGTTCTTTTTGTTACATTTTACATCAATACACTTAGAAATGTTAATCAGAAAATATGCACGTTATATTAACTTTTTTGCTTAAAGCAACTGATTTAAAATGAAATAAACAAAATGAACTTGACAGACAGCGACAGTTAAATGAATAAGAAAGGCCACTTTAAGCAGTATTTTAAGCTATTCCACAACAGTACGTTCAACTAACGATTGTTTATTTTCCTTGCAATGTTTGCTTTCGAAGTTTGCATAAGCATTACGATTAAAATGTTAACTTGCAGATAAGGACATAGATGGAGTTTCAGTCTGTATATATAGGATACATAGATTCGATGAAACACACTATGTATAAATAATCAGTATGTCGATAAAATCGCAAAGAAAGAACATACACTTGTAGATATATATAGGCACTAACATTTTCTTCTTTTTTAATAATACATTCATTCCTGCATTTCGATCTATAAAAAACATTTAGCTGATTCCAACGTCTTATTTTTGTTACACACTCAGACTGTAGACTGTATTATCTTCAAATATGGAAATCCACGGATTTCACTCAGATTTAAATGTTTTTCTAATGAAATACAACGTTTATTATATGCCGTTTATTATAACTCATATTTTTACAATCATGATAGGCGATGCTGCGGAGAATAAATTTCAAACGTTGACAAAATGTGACTTATGGGAAGTTGGAGAAGAATTCAGCCGTAAACCATTTGCGTTTGCTGTACAAGAAGGCTCACCACTGAGGAATATTCTGTCCAATGCGTAAGTAGTCAGAAATGATGTTAGACATTTACAGCATTTTTTACAGGTGTTTACTCAGAACAGACTTGGACTAACATTACCGGTCTAGATCACTTTATATGTAGTTTCACTAGCTATTTTTCATAGCTTTTATTAAAGAACGCTTGTCCGTCTGTTTTATGATTTGGTTTCTTAGGATTTTGTCGTCTCGTTCAAACTTGTTATCTGAATTTTCCAGGATCATTATCTTATGGTTGGGTTAGTTCTTTCATCTTGTTATACACCACCTTTCAATGGAACAGATGAATTAATTGCTTTCATTTGCTCCTTGTCTACCACTCACTCACTCAATTGCGAAAGTTTTTAAGGACACAATCTCATACAGTTTATTGTTGATTGACGAAACCCTAATTGCTAGCAACCATGACTACTTCGGGCACATAAAGAATGTAGCGGGGTTAAACATGCTTGTGAGCGCTCAACCATCCCATGCATAGTGTAACAGCACAACATAAGAACAAACTGTAAATCTCTTTTGAAAAACTCATTAGATCGATGCATACAGGAATAAATGCCCTGTTCATTGATAATTTTCTATGTTTTCTATGTATTGTGTGCGATTTTGTCCTATGAACATTTACTCCATATCCTTTCATTTTCTATAGCACAAAAATAATTAATAGAAATACAAAAAGTGCAGATCTGAGAGCACTCTGGTTACTGAAATCTAGTTCAAAATCAAGTTCAACTATTAAATAAACCTTGTTTTCAAGACTAGAGTATTAATCAGTACTTTTGCAACTGCTGTTTTAAAGGTATCATAAACAATCTGACAAAAGCATGATAGTGTGCAATGTCAAACTATGACTGACTATCGACCAGTTTCTAAGAATTTTTCAGAAATTTATAGCCTTACATATTTATTCATGTTTTAATTAATTGAAAACAAAATAAATGAAAGCATAAAAAAAATCTTTCTACAGTATTGAAAAAATCAACAATAGATACCGCCCCCTCCCGCTTTCCGAAGCAAGAAGTAAAAAAAACAAAATTACAACTTCACATGAAGATCAAGATCAAGACCACGTAATCGATATAAAACTGACTAAATATGCCGGTCATGTAGGACTAGAATAATACAATAACAACGCAAATAGTAATTAGTTCTGAAGAGGGTGTCGCCGCAATTTACCTTGACTAATTCGATTGCCGAATGGAGCACTACCACAACACCATATATGGAATATTTACAAAATCCAAAGAATAACTATTGTTTTATAACTTTGTATCAACTTTCTTATTATCTAATGAACATTAATTTCATACGTACAATTCATTTTAATCTCTAACCTATCCATAACGTCATAATTGTAAAACAACCGCAAATATTGTACTTTTCTAAACAAAAACTCTATCATTGGAAATTTAGATGAATACTGAGTTTAGCCTTAAACTGTGATTCATACCAATACAGGATCAAGTGCGCTATGTAAGGGGTGCAATTGGTGCCTATATATGACTCACAGCAAATAAGTTGGCACTATAATTTTACAAAGGGCTATTTCATTACTAAGTTAATATGAAAACTTCTGCTTGATGATATTGTGTGGAAGTGAAGTGTAGATAGTCAACCGTTCTAATTGTTAACCGAATTGAAAGGATCTTCAAACGCAGCTAATATAATTAGATCACCCAAGAGTTTTTACACTCCCGAACTATTCTATTTCATATTTTTAATAGCTTTATTAGGACATTTGATAATAAGTTATTTGATAGAAATCAGCAAACTAAATAAAGGACAGAAATAGTAGTTGTAAAACATTTATTAGAAACCATGGCAAGAGAAAACGATATTTGAAGGTTTTTTGGTGTAATTTAGGTAGTAAATACAAAGGGTCGGAAGAGATATTAAGCTGGGATGTTCTAATGAAACAATTGTCTTCTACATGTCTAATATATTCTCTTAGGAACGCACTGCCTTGAATGTAGAAGTAATTGATTGTCTAAGGAACATCATACCACTACCACGTCGTCTTTGTAACATACTTTTCTCATTGCTTGTCTTTTATTATTTACACTTATAACTCATTCATCCTTTTCATTCTTCTTCTTCAAAAGTTATTTTTATTTACTAGCACTGGGTCGATATTGTTGCTGGCGGTCTGTTAGTCCCCAGGGGCATCACCAGCTCAGTATTTAATGCGTCGCTGCTGACATGACTTATAATGTAATTTGCAGAAACTTTCCGTTGATAAATTAAGAAGTTATTAAGAAACTAAAATTTCAACTCCCTCATTCAAAGTTCACCTTAGATAAATTTGGCTATTCTTTTTTTCTATATATAGCTTCTAAAATGTCTACGCATAAATACATCTATTATAGCTTTTAAATATAAAATTTCTACGCATAAATACATCTATAGCTTTCAAATATAAAATTTCTACGCATAAATACATCTATAGCTTTCAAATATTTAGGATTGAGCATACCTGATAAGGCTCATCAAGAAACTCTCTCCCGACGCATGTAGAAAATCGCTCCCGACGAACGTAATTTATAAAGTGTTATTTTAATCATATAGGATACGCTTACCCTGTCGACCACACGATCTTTCTATTTTCAGTTCATGCCTTTCCTTTAGGTTTTTGTTTTTTATTTTCATTCCAAATCGATTCACAAGTTGCCTTTTTTATATTCATTTGGTTTGGGAACAACATAACAAAATTATTCTTTGTATAGATTCTTATTCAGTTGAATTATGTTCTACTTTTCTGAACATCTCATGCGGAACCAAGAATATATGTTACTTTTGAATTTATACTTTTATAGGATATTAAAGTTATTGAATCAAAGGAAGTTGGAAACGTTGAAACATAAATGGTGGACGAATAACCAAAAGAAGAAAACATGTCCAGACATTGAAAATGAAAGTGATGGTATAAGCATAAAAAATATTGGCGGTGTCTTCCTCGTGATTGCTGTTGGAACTGCACTTTCGTTGATTTGTCTGGCGTTTGAATTCTACTGGTATAAATATCGACCTCAACAAGATGGAATGAGATATAATGTCAAGAGGAACCAATCAAAAGCATCATTAACGACCAGCGCAACAGCAACGACTAACTTGTCCAATGGTAATGGTTCATCTCTCTGGGCTAACAATGCTCCAGATTTTGTACCGGAAGAAGAGACAAGAAATAACGGCATGGTTCATTTTGAACTAAATGGACAGCTATAAAATAGCGCTTCATCATATGCGAATAAAACATTAACATCTGTAAATGAAATAGATGCCTTCAAGACAGACGAAAAGGGATATAGAAACATTTAAAAGCTTTGAATATGCTTTTACAAATCAGTTACTTCATACATCGTTGCTAAAGATGTCTGTGGAAGCTTATTCTCTAACTCAACTTGTTCATTGGCTTGAGTAGTGTGTTTTGTATTGTAGACAGTGACTTAGTTTACTTTACTTCTAAATTATCTTGACTTATAAAAACGGTTAAAAATCCATCCGTTTGGTTTTGTAATATTACTTAAAAATTTAACATATAGTGTTGTGTTGAAAAATGTGATATTCATTGAACTTGATTTTCTTTATTAAGAATGTCATTCTCCTTGTCATAGTTTGTATAGAAATATAGTTATTTTATTTACAAGTATTGCACTAAATGCATAAACAAAATGTTTTAAATATTGTCTTAATAGATATAAGAAGATGTGGCATGAAAACCAATGAGTCAACTCTCCATCCAAGTCACAATTTGTAAAAGTAAACCATTATAGGTCAAAGTACGGCCTTCAATATTAAAAAGAAAATACTTAATTTCCTAACATGAACAATTTATTGCATGTATAGCAATTTGATTAATATTTATTAATTTTTCATTTTAGCATTTTGTTTCTGTTTTTATCAATGTCGAAAGTACTTTTTACTAGTGCTCGCATCTTAGTATACTAATATATAGATTATCTGACAAGCAGTTTTAATAAATTATACTATTCTAATTAGCGAACTTTCAGACGTGGGTAAACTATGGGAATGTTCAAACAAGGATATTAATCAGTGAATGAATGTTACATTTTACACTGATTAAAAGTTAGATATCAATAAATCGGCCATCCAACTTTCTGTCTCTAGACTATTCTAGATTGTACATAATACAGGGAAAGGGCTGTGTCTGCATATTTGTTCCGCATAATACATGTTCCACGTGGAACAAAATGGTAGATAGTAGATAACAAAAGTTCTTGAGAACTAAAATCAAATGATATTTAATCCTTCTTCATAAAATTATTTCCTGGAACATAAAGCCCCATAAAATTTGTTCATACCGTAGGATGACTGGAAATTGTACAATAGACAGATTTTTTAATGTCAGCAAAAATACACATGTATATCACGTGATTGTTTACAACCAAGTGCATTTTGATAAGTACATTTTGTAATCATCTGTACATGAAGGTTAATATATACAAAACTTCTCTTACATATAACTATTCCTAGAAATTATGTAACATGATAAATATTCCCCTTTATTTTATAATTAAAAACGGTGATAACTATATATTTTGTAAATCTTGTAATGTTGTTTTGAAACGAGTATTGTCACAAATACAAATACTTGCAATTTCACAATCAAATTTTATAGTTTTTATATTCCTATGTAATGGTTTCTCTCAAAGTGTTATATACATGTAGGAATCATATTTGTTGCTAAAGTTCCAACATTATATTTGTTCAAGAGAATTTTATTGTGTAACAAAAGTTTCGGTGGGAACTTTCATTATATATTGATTTATCCAGTATGTTAGAAATTTTATTATTGAAAATAAATTATTATATTGAATAGATATTATGAAAGTGGACTTTTATACACTCACAGGGCAACTGCCATGTATCCTTACTTAACGCAGACATGTTCATAAACAAAATAGTCAATTAAATCATGTTTATTCTTCAAGTACGGTATATCAGCTAACATTTGGTGTTACAAAAACAATGCAGTAAGCTTAATAGTACAACACAGTACCATGTATTGAAATTCTATGGATATCTGTATCAAACATATCTTATCATTGTCGGAAAAACTCTACTGTACAAAAAAAAACAAAAATGGTAGTGGACATATGGGATATCAACGGACAAAATTATGAAATAATAACAACAAAAATTACATTTCATTTTGCATCGATTTATTTATTATGTCTTTCATATTCAGTATCATTTCATGATGTATATTTTATCCTGTTTGCTGTTAAAATTAAAAGTTTATAATGTTGTTATTTTTGAATTTTGTTTTACAATATATATCAAATAAATCATTTATAGAATATTTTGAAGTTAATATTTCAAAAATAGTTTTGAAAAGTAATATATCATTATCTGTCGGGAAGTACTTTTAATTTTGGCAAAACTTAGCTTCCAATTACTTTTTGCCGTTTTTACTTACCAATAGATTCATGTGGAGCCGGATCTGCTTACCCTTTTGGAGCACATAAGATCACCCCCGGTTTTTGGTGCTGTTCATATTGCTCTGTCTTGAGTTTTCTATGTTGTGTTTTGTATACCCTTGTTTGTCTTTTTGTATTTTCGGTTTTTGCCATGGCGTTGTAGTTTATTTTCGACTTAGGAGTTTGATTGTCCCTTTTGGGATATTCGTCTCTACTAAAAGTCATAATTGTCGGGCAAATTACAAAGTATCACTTGCTAGATTTCTATATGGTCTGCAATTTGTTTCTATTTCCCCGAATTTTTGCTCTTCAATCCACAAATCAAGAAAATGTATACATGTATCAACTTTTAAACATGGATGTATTACCCTGTAGAAATGTATCCGAGTGCTTTTTTACATTACTACGGTCATGATATTTGACTAAATTCCTTTGTCTTGCTTTTTAATTTATATACCTGTTCGGACTATTCTGTTTTCCAGTACGTTTAGAAATTAAGTTACCCTATGCCTTGTATAATACACACACTTTAAAAGACAGAATTTAATATCAAATCATTCTAGTTAACATTCGAATCGACTATATTGTTATACATTTTTCTTTTCATCAGTATGCGATTACGATCGATCTTCTCAAGAGGTAGACATCCAGGATTGTCAACTTGTTAGTGTTTTTTGCCGAAGCCTTTATCAAGTAGGGAAATCTCACAAGTTGAGAATACAGATGACCATCCACTAAATTGGCAACATTAGTTAACATATGTTCAAATCTAATTCCTTATTATAAATTCCCGACTTCTCCTCACTTTAGGGCATACGATACAGTTACAGGGGAGGTAATGACGTCGTTAACGTAAAATGATATTTTTCGCGACGTCAAACTGTGAAAAAATGACATTAGGCTTGAATATGTATGAATATTATTTGTGCCAATTTTTAGGAACAAATCATCGATGATTTTTTTTTAATTAGATAAATTAATATACAGCCAAAAATGCCGGTTTTTTTTACTAAAATCATGACAAGTTGATAAAAATGAGTTATTTCCAAAAAATTGTTACACAAACTCAAAACACACTTTTGAAGAGAAGATATTCAAGATGTTTTTACGAAACTCCGCTTGTGTTTATCTTTTGAAACAAAAAAGTTAAGTATGTCATAGGATAGAAATGTCCAAGAAACCGAAATGTCCAGTAAATGTCTAAAATTTCGACCCCATTTATCTCTATAAGTAGCACATGAAGGTATATGTTTTATTACATATTTGAAATGATTAGGTGAAAAATAGCTGGTATGCAAACTTTCGTCAAAAATTCACCGTGGGATTAAAACTGTATCGTATGCCCTTAACACTACTACTTCACGCTATTTATTCTTCATTTACTAAAAAATCAAAAGCCAAACAACAAATCCCCTATCAGCTGCTGCAAAACCACACACTCGGGAGCAGCAGCATTACCCTATACACGAGCAGCAGCAATACCCCATACTCAAGCAGCAGCAGCAAAGGTCCTCAAAAGAGTAAAGCTCTTAATACAACAGCGTAAATAGCCTTATCAGTCCCTCTAACCAAACCTCTGTTGGAAATATTATACAAAAATATAGAAAAGAAAAACGGAGAAAAGCATTTATCTACCGTTGTAAACATTTTAAAGGAAAAATGAAAGCCGCAGGAAAATATCATTCGTAATCCTTCTGAACTCATCACAGAAACCTCAGAAATGTGAGTTCGTGGCCGTGTGGTAAAGAACGATGGTTACAGTGCTGAAGGTTTCGGGTTCGATCCTGACTCGATGCGCTGGAAATTTCAGTACATTAGAAGAGTGATTTTTACTCTCCCAAACACATCTCTGGTACCTATACCGAAGTTTAAACTAGAATTTGTACTTTGGGAGCCTCGGTTGGACAAAGTGACCCCCGACTTTGACCTGGAGATCAATCTGCAGATATCTCTTTCGTGTCTGTTCCCTCTGAGGAGCCCGGGGGTTTCTTTCTGAGTACTTCGGCTTTCTCCACCACAATAACAAACTTCCTTGTGTCCTAACACTCCCTTGGGAATTTGAACGTGTCTTACTTTGTGGACTTGGAGATACCTCAAAGAAAGCACCAGCAGTTTCTCTTTCCGTAACTGAACTTTAGAACGCGGACATCACAGAGAACAAATACATATATATATACAGAATTTTAGTGACTTTTTGTACGTAAAACCTTCTGGAAAACCGATATACATACACATTACCTTAACAATCGAGGACATTAAAGATCACGGCCTTCACAAGTTTCTTCCAGTCACGTATCTGGTTTTAATGCCTGCGCAATACACCTTTTTTGCTCTCGCATACACAGAACAGCAATCCTATATTTCTTGATGAACGACGTCACCTCCGTTTATGCAATTCTGTCAGTTTTTGTTTGTTTCCTTGATTTGTCTCTTCCTAATGGATTTCTGAGATTTGAATATCGGTAAACTACTGTCGCCTTAATTTAGTCCCTCCTATACTACTGATGAACACAACAATTCGTTCTTTAATTTGTCTATCAAAATCGAAAAGTGCCTCTTAAACAAAGAAGTACTAGCCAGTATTAAGAAATAACAAAATAAAAAAAAAAGAGTTGCATACAAAATCAAAGTACTGTCATATAGTGTACTCTTTCTAATTTAATCAATGTCAATATTATACATGCACATATATATGTAAATACGATTCCAAAACAAAAAATAAGTATGCAGATACCCAATCACAAATTCTACAACACTTTCACAACTATAAATATGTACTCCCCATAAGTGAAACTAAAACGAACTTCTTTTAGTTATTAAGATTGTTTTCTGAGTATTCAATACTTGTTGATGTAATATGTATGCGCAAGGAATCATTCAGGTTAAGTTGGAAAATAAATTTATCTAAAAACAAAAGAAATAGTGAAACTTGAACTGTGAAGTGCTATCTGTACAAGTGGTGCAGGATAAAATAAAGTTAAACTAAGGTTTCAACTCCCTCAGACAAAGTTGACCTTAGATTGATTTAGCTATTATCTTTATGTCCTTTTTGGTCATATAGCGCTTCAACTGTTTCGGTTCTTATACATGCTTGGCTTCAAATATTCGGCTTTGGGCGTTCCTGGTGAAGGTGAGTCATGAAAAGCGCTTCCGACGCATGACATTTAATAAGGGGTTGATTTCATTTTGGAAAAGAAAGGATATGCTGTATCGATTCAAAAAATTAAATCATTATGTGCATGTAAACAAAAATAAAAAGGAACAAAACTTTTATTTCTGTTATTTATTCAAAAATACTCCAAGCTATAAAATAGTTTCATTTAAAAAAGAAATTGTTTGATATGCTCCGTTGGTTGATATAGTCTAACGTTTGATTTTGTCAGTTTTATGGACTTCCTCTTTTTAAAATTTAACTTCAAGTTAGGTATTTTTGTTAATACTTTTTTTCTGCTAAGATCTAAACTATTTTTGTTACGTCAACTGTTTTTATCACATAGCTTTAATTGAATTTTATTTGTATCTAACTATTTTTTATTACAATGTTAGTTTAAGTATGGTGAAGCACCTGTTGTCTGAATTAAAAAAAATATCATATTTTTCATACTGTTTATTTATTACCATGAGCAAGACGACGAGTTCCACCTTATATCACTTCCGGTTTATCGTGGGATTCGTGTTGCTCGGACTTTATCTTTATAAGTGTTTTGTAGACTGTTCTTTGTATTTTCGTTGTTTTCCGTTTTTTTGTTATGATTTTGTGGATCACTTTTCGACTTACACAAGTTTTTATTTATCTTTTGGTATCTTCCGCCTCTTTTTTATACCAAAAAGATCTCGCCACGATTTAACATTTGCGCTGATGCGACGGAAAGCAAGCATCAATCAATCAATCAATCAATTAACCATGTATTAACAAAATGTAATATATAAAGATTAAAACTAATAAACATATGAGCCCCAAACAAATAAAACAGGCATTTGGTTACTCATTTGTATTTCTTTTGTGTTCGTTCTTTCTAGTGAAGGATTGATTGATTGATTGTTGGGTGCTTAACGTCCAGTTGCAAATAATCCATGCATGTTCAGAACTAGAACAAATTAACAATAAATACAATAGGTAGGTCCTGTAATATAGGCCGTCCTGGATGAAGGTCGTTGAAAATTTGACTGCTACTGGAAAATCAGGATATTTTGGATTAGGACTGAAATTTTGCCTTGCAACAGACCACCTACGGACCCCTCAAAGAGTGGTTGCAAGGGTTCTTCACATGCAGATATTGGTACATTAAATTTACACGATGCATCGGATTTAACGTCCCCATTCTGACCGGACGTAGCTGCGTACTTAATTGTACATACCGCAGAGCCAAACGGACGCATCACTTTGACAAGGGTTTTATTACCGGTCGGATGAAGACCAAAGTGACCATATTTATATTCCACATTCATCCTTTGTGGACTCTTCTGAAGGAATACACGTTAAATCACTCGGGGTTGGAATGCACGATAATATTATTATTTGTAACGCATCTGTCCCAAGTAGGCATCACGACAGTATTCTATTTATTGTCATCTGTTTATATAATTTTCAGCTGCCGAATTCATTCTCTAGTTAGTTAGACCAGCTGTTATTTGGAGAATGTCATATAAATAACTATTTCTAGTTACCTGTAGATGTTATTAGGAGATTGTCATAATTATACAGAAGATTTTTAGTGATCGTTTAGAACCATTTCTAGTTCATATAAATAAGATTTTTGGTGATCGTTTAGAACCATTTCTAGTTACCTGTAGTTGTTATTTGGAGATTGGCTTTTACAGATAAATAAGATTTTCCTTGTTTCGTTACATAAAAGTCATTCAATAATATATTCACGGCTATCATTCGTTTTATCGAGAGAAATGATCGTGAAAGAATGAGTAACGGTGGTCAAGTATTGCGATTGGATCGTGAAAGATCTGGTATAGGATCTTGAAGGAAATCTAATCGAGAAGACGCATACAACGTCAGTAAATGATATAATTAAATCAATTATAATGACAAATATTTGAAAAATAAAACTGTCTGTTAAAATGGTTCAACATTAGGATCAGTATCCGAGAAAAATCAAGGCTTAAAAGTACACAGTTTCTACAAACTACAAAAGGCTGATTGCTCTTCGAAATTTCAATGAAATAAAAATGTAAACAAACATGATTTTTTCAAATTCTTAATGCACACACTACTTTTCTCCTAAAAATATCGTTCAATATTACTGTTTAAAATAGTTCTTAAAGTTATTTTGATTTAGTTTAATCAGAAAATTTGCAAAAACAGTAATATTTGTAAAAAATTGATATTTCGGATCGTGAAAGATCAGGTACCACATTTTGATGATCGTGAAAAGGATCGTGAAAGATCTGTTGCCGCTTATTCGTTATTGAAAAAAATTCACGAAAACGATCAAATGATTTTTTTTATATTTGTAATTGGTGTATCAAAAGATTGAATTTGCAAGACTTATTCCGCTTCACTTTTGTTTGTGAATAGAGCTATTATGGTTCAATGCCATTGGATCTGATTATTTGATAATACCACACCGACTAGTTTTCTTATAACAATATAAGTCTGTCTATTCGTCCTGCATAAGTTTATGTCGTTTGAAAAGTTAAAATTGTCTCATCTGAGTTCCATTAATTTTTATGCGCAGTCATATCTATAAAACGAAGATCCTTGTTGATCTTTGTAAAAATTGGAAAAAAGCATTGTTTAAAAAAACTGTCATATTCCTGTCTTCTAGCTAGCTAATACGCCCACTTGTATGACAGTTGTTTAATGTTCCGTAATATTGCCAAATTGGTTGGGAAACCCATACAGACATAATTGGTTAACGTGGCCATATATGGGACCCAGCAGCCAAAACTGTGTAAACATACATCACAGACATACAACAAAACCTAATTTTGAACAGATATATCATGTTAAGGAGGGGTATTTGCGAAAAATACCAGTCGAGAGAATGTTAAATTTCGCGAGCCGTAAGGCGAGGGAAATTCATTCTCAAGACTGGTATTTTTCGCAAATACCCCTCAAGAACATGCTATATCTGTTTAATTACACCGAATGTTAACGTTCCAAAACGCATTGATGATCGTGACGTTACAAGCGTCCAGTCGGATAGAGTATTTTTTGGCAAATACCATGGCAGAGAGGGTAAAAAAGGCATATCCTTTTTGCATATACCCCGGCGGCGTTAAAAAATGAACCGATATTCATTTGATAACAGTAAATGAAAAGTGGGCACTAGTACCAGTTTTTGAAAGTAATGCGCATAATTTTTCTAATGTCGTCTAGATATTAAAAGTCATGCGCACGATTTTTCAAACTAGTGCGCACCAGATTACATCTCTGGCAAACGAAAATATTTCTATTTACTTGGCACTTAATGGACTCCGTAAGGGGATCTATGTACATATATCACAAAAAAAAATTAAAGCATTAATTTACGTTCTTAGTACGTAATTACATGCTTCAACCAATTACAAGTATATCAATTGGTAAAAGAAATGCTGTTTTCTGATCATTAAGTCTGGTCACGCCTTGTCTTTCACGATCAATTTTGATTAAAAATCAACAAAAATCAGCTTTTTCAAAAATAATATGAACTTTTTAAAGTAATAACATACTTTCATTTTACTGGACTATATGACACAATAAAGATTAAGTTTCAAATATATCCTGACGTGATTTTTTCCTAATGATTCTCATAGGATTGTGTATCGCCTTTTGTGTTTTCTTAAAAGGTACTGCATTTTTTCTTTAACTTAGTGCACAGTATTATTAAGGAAGTTGAATCATTTTGAAAGACTTTTTTTTTTTATTTGTTCCACCTTTTGAAAATATAGCCGATTTTTCACAGATTTTGAAGTAGAATTTCACTTAATTGTTCATTTCTCTCGATACACCGAATGACACCCGTGATATTGCTTGGGTATTAGATTGAGATCAATGTACCTGGATTTTCTCTCAAGTCTGAATTATACTAACCTAATGAAAATAGCGAGAAGTAGTTTAACTGACTAAATGCATCGACATGTTAAGTTGTATGGATATAAAAAAAAACAATTATTAAATTATAAGATTGTGTAATGAGAAAAACGATTTATACTGTTTCGGAGAAATTTTAAATTATGAAACTAAATACGTGACCAAGTAACGAAGGGCTGGACTTTCAATAATTAGATAGAATAACCGGATTTGAAACGGACTCCCCATTGGTTAATAATTATTTGTACAGTATAGATTCACAAACGATGAACCGGATTCAATTTATATTTCTTACCTTTGTGTGTACTTGTGAAAAGGTCTTTCAGTAACATTTAAGACTTTAAACGTATAATATCGAAGCAAAGGAAACTCTACAATTGAAAGAAAAAATAACAGAATGACAAGATCAAAAAAAAAGATAGAGATTTTTGCTACACCAGAAAGCAAAGAAAATCCAGTGAATTTAGTTTCAATATCAGGACATGAAAATAAGGCATATGTGAATGACAATTCATATGATAATATATCGGACAGTAGTGGGGTTTCTAGCATCGAAGAATCCAAGAAAGATAATGGAACGCCACCAGTGGTCGAAATTGAGAGAAAAGATAAACATTCAGACTTTCAAATGAAGAAATCATTGAATCTTGTTCACTGCGTTGCTATAATGATTGCTGTGACGGGACATTCCTCAATTTTTATATCTCCTGCAGCAATATTGAAGTCTGCAGGGTCTGTAGGCGCATCGTTAATTGTATGGCTGGTTGGCGGACTTATTAATATGATGTTGGCGTTGTGTTTTGCTGAACTCGGTACTATGCTACCAAAAGCTGGTGGTCCGTATGCCTATGTTATGAGGACGTTTGGTCCTTTGCCAGGCTTTTTAATTCTGTGGGGATACGTTGTTTTAATATCTGGTCCGTTTTGGGCCTTTTTAGCATACACCGCAGCTTTGTATATTTTCCAACCATTTTTTCCCGATTGTGAGGCTCCAGAAAATGCAGTGAAACTTTTAGCAGGATGGATAATGAGTAAGAATTTATTTGTTTATTCTCTCAATTTCTTTAGCGTATGTCATACTTTTTTTTATTAATCAATTTTACATTGACAAAAAAGTTGAAATGCATACGACATATCTAGAATTCCCAAGGAGGTTGTACTTAGAAATAGTATGAAAATAAAGAGGTGTGGTTGATTGCAAATGGGATAACTATCCACTAGGGACCAAAGGACGAGAATATAAACAACTATAACTGTATGATATAAGAAAACGTCTCTATTGCTGTTATATATTAATTCTGTATATAGTCATTGTTGGAAGGTCTTCAATGTTGTGTTTAATATGTCACTACTCCTTACAGCAAGATCAAGATGACCCTAGTTTCGACTTCAGTAGTCTTTGGTATCAGCTAACTACCGCTATAAATATTTCATAACATCTATGCGAGTAAGTAAGTAAATTTTACTTGTGATCAAAGTTCTGATGTGTTGTACTAGATTTAAATTTAGACTCAAATTATTGTTTTCGTTTCATAGTAACATTTGTGGTCATCAACTGTGTTTACATGAAGTATGTAACCAAAGTACAGACACTGCTTTCCAGTACAAAAGTTTTAGCTTTATTGATAATCATAGCATCAGGGATAGTTAACTTCACAAAAGGTATGTTAATCACTAAAAGTTGTATGTATGTATGAAATATATTATCAAATTATTTATGCTTAGTCGTTAGCTCAAAATGCCGATAGCAATAAATACTGTGCAAAACCACCTATAGAATATATGTAGTTATAAATGTGATCGAGAATTAACATAAATATGCAAAAAGAAAGAGAAATAGAGTCTGGGTATTAAATATAACGCGATGACAAGAATAATCATAATGATTTCCCCCCGATTCTCGTCGCATTTTAAACGAGAAGATTTTGTGTGTATATGTGTCTTTTTAATGCCTCTAAAAGCAAACGTTGTATCAATTTCTACCGTTTAAAGTAAATGTGTGAATGAACACTTTCATAATCTCTTTATTTTAGGGGAAACTGAAAGCTTCGAGCATATTTTTGAAGGAACAACTAAAGAACCAGGAGAATTTGCAGTTGCAATATTTTATTCAATCTTCTCCTACGGCGGATGGTTAGTGTATTATGTATTATATTTAAATGACACTTACAGAGAAACGGTTATATCTTAATAAGGACAATAACAACAATATGTCGGTCTCGTGGTAGTGTACTTGCCTCGAGTGCAAGAGCTCATGGGTTCGATCCCCAGCCGAATCATCATAGTCTTAAATACTTCCATTTGCTGCTTCTTCACACAAAGCACGTGGCATTTAGGAGTAACAGAAATGCTAGTCGGTTCGAGTCCGATTATTTTTGTTCATTATATAATACTTACATGTTGTCATTCTGAATGTGAATGTGATATTTTGGACGTTGTTAAAAAGGGTTCTTGTCTGGGGTTAAGGTCAAAATATCTACACTCATCACACTAAAAAACATTTTCTTAGACCGCTTGCTTTTTGTAATGTACTCTACCGACTGTAATCCTGACACATTTTTGGATATTTTACAGGCAGGTAATGACAAGTCTAATGGAAGAAGTGAAAAAGCCAGAAAAGTAAGCATCTTAATTATCATTTTTAAGATCACTGATAAAAAACCCTGATATTAATTTTTCTTCGGCTGTTTCATAATATAGCCTTTAATACGGGTGCAAAAATTGAAGACGTACGTCTCAATCCGCATTAATTCTCAATTTGTATTTTTCAGAGATTTGCCCAGATCAGTTTTCATTGCTATGATAGCCGTTATCATGAAATATGTCCTGACTAATGTGGCTTATTTTACGCTCATGTCACCGTCGGAAGTTGTAGCATCTAACGCTGTTGCATTGGTAAGTCGTTCGTTAGCAATATGCTTCATATCTTTGAATTAGCCATGTACAAGAAAACCCAAAAGAATACCGAAAAACTATCGCCCCTATGTTATGTTTTAAAGGGGTTTGTGTTGCTTTTGCTCTAGTTTTCAGTATTGTTTTTGCTCTATTGTATTTAAGATGTCTGTATTGTTTCTACCGCTGACTGTCTTGTGTCAGCTTTGTCCTGATAAACCTCGTTTTCACATTGGTTACGCTTACGGTTAGAGAATGTATTATGCCGATGGTTTATGAACAGGGAATTTCTTATGGTAAGACAAGAGACATTCACCAATCTGATATTATATAATGCATAATCACCTGATGACTCAAAAACGTATTTTACCTTAGTAACACAGATGGGGTCACTATTGGAGCAGGATCTGCATGCGATTCTGGAGCAAGCACGTGAGATCACCCCGACTTTTGATGGGGTTATTAATCTTTAGTACTCTGTCACGGTGGTGTTTTGTAAACTGAATGTTGGTGGTCTTTGGTTGTGTTTTCTTTCTGTCCATTGTTTTGTCGGTTTTATTCTACTATAATGATTTTTTTCCCTTTGGTATCTGCTGTCTCAGGGAGTTAAAGGCGAGTTAAGACGAAGAAAAGTTAAAACACTTAATTCTATGCTTTAACAACAATTTCGAGTCTTGCAGTCATTCTAAACAAAAAAATAGTTGATTGTATTTGTTTAGTTACAACCAGACGTTTAATTTATTGGTTTAAATAATATTTAATTTGACTTATGCTTTCTCAAAACGAAACATTGCAGTGTCATCATTATGAGACATGTACACGCAATTTTACGTTACAGGTGTATATCCAGCGTTTTTACAAACCACTGACTGCCGTGATATCCGTCTTTGTAGCTCTGACATCCATTGGTGCACTCAATGCCTCCATAATGGGACACTCGAGGTAAGTTGTTTACTTAGAAAACTTCAAGTAGGTACTGAATAACCTTTAAACGCGGAAGAAGAGTTTAACGCATTTATCATAATGTTATCTTAATTCGAGTTTTCTGATTTTTAAATGTATAACTCTCATATTTTCTTGCCTTTTATTCTTTCCAATGTTTTTAATATGAAACATGACTAGGAGTCTAGGACTATCAATAAGGAAATTGCGACTTTTTCAATCAGAAAAATATTACTTAGCAACAGCAATTTCCTCTTATTTTTTCAATTTTTAATTCAAATATGTTTCTTTTGTCTTCTTTTTTTTCATTTTTTTAATACGAAATAATATAACTTTATTGCAAAAAGTAAAACCCTGACGTGTTTAAAAAAATGCAAACATAACAGACATGTACACAAGAAACATACAATACATGTACATGAAAAAAGTTCTTAACAAGTCAAGTTAATATCAATAATATATATATATAAGTATATAGATAATTGCCTAATGTGGACCTTGTTTTCGCAACTTCATGGATTGCTTTATATAGCCCTCTACACTAGACAAAATATAATATCATTATTGGGATCTAAAATAGTTTTAGGTTTAGAGTTTGAGTCAAGCAGGTTAAAATTAGGATAATGGGTTTTAATTGCATTTATAAGGGGATTAATTTCTATATAGTTTGACGTTTAACAAGAAAATTGTAGCTTTTTCAAACAAACAAAAATATTTACTAAACAACAGCAATTTTCACTTCCTTATAAGTATTGTATTATCTCCAGTAACAGGAATTTAGATTTTCTCAAATAAAATTATTATACAAAATTCTAAACATGATAAATCGATCTCAATATCTAAATTTATATCAAATATTGATTTAAAAAGTTTAACGTGCATGTGAAAATACCAGTCATTCCGAAATAGTTAAAAATGTCTTATGAAATATGTTGAATTTTGTATCTTGATAAAGTTGACAATCCGAGATATATGACCAAAATTTCGACATAAAAATAGAACTCAATCTTAACATTTTTACTGATTAACACAATATCTTCTTTCAAAAATGCAGAATGAGACGATATAAAAAAAAAAGTTTGTTTAGCTACTAATAATCACTGTGGTATGCTACTGTTAGGTGTATACAAATATTATTTCTTCACATCCCGGAAGAACCTATTTTTACCTGGGAAAATAAAGGACACGTTCTAAATGTTGACCATCCCTAATACATTGATTTCATTGGGTTATGAAATGATGTACGAATACAAGGAAGTAGAAGTACACGTCACTAGAATATAATTACATGTATTGATCCCTAGATCCTTTTTCTATTTCAAAAACGATAAGACTGTAGGACATCATAGCTGACACAAACTCATATCTCTACCTATTGTTTTTGTTTATTCTACATCATTTAGATAAAGTTATCTTCATATTAAATATCAAATACTCTCAGTATCAAACTGCTCCACATCTCGCAAAAACTTCGTATCGCGGATTTGTTGTGTGTATCTAAAGATTAAACTTGGCATTATCAAGTTTAGAACAAAGCTTTCAGCGAATCTGTAATACTAAAATAACGAGGTCCAATTTGTTAGACGGCATGGGGTAAAAACGACGAATCAAAGAATTCAACTTTATATATAACTAATATAGGACAATAGTGTTGATTAAAAATTACACCATTCCCGGCCCTTTTGTTTTCCACATCATTAATATTACCAAAAATTAACAAGTTCCGGGTGGATACCGATACCAATAGTATATGTCATCTGTTACCTATTACCTAATATGTACGTTCCGCATATGCATGTTAATTAGGCGCACCACCAAACGGTGTATTTGGGATTGGCTATCTATATACACGGGTCATAATCATTGTTTCCTATTGTAGTATTTTAATCAGCATGACTTTATAAGATGACAATACGAATACTAAAAATACAGACTTAAAATAAGGGTAGGCATAGTTTCCTATTTGTTAGCCGGCATGACGTAAAAACGGCGAGTAAAAAAATTCAACTTTATATATAACTTATATATATATATATAGGACAATGGCGTTGATTAAAACTTACACCATTCCAGGCCCTTTTGTTTTCGAAATAAAAATTAGTTCCAGGTTGACGGGTTCAAACAGAAGATTTTGAAAGCAGAGAAAGCCGTGCATCTTATAAACAGCATGACTTTATCAGATGACAATACCAATACTGAAAATCCAGGCTAAACATAAGGCTTATACATAATTAGATACTTTAATTCAGTCACGGATCCGCGATGTCGCCGGTGTGTTCTAGTTCATTATAATTTGCGGCATCGTAATCAAATATATGAATATCCTCCTTTTCCCGTGTGACCGATACAATATAATACCATAGGGTGGGATAGAATCATACATGTATGTACAATGTTTACAAGCCACGTAGAGACACAAACACAAGAAGTGATTGAGACAGAAATTTTTTCACGAACGCTTGAAACTAACAGAAATCCCTTACTTACAGGCTGATATTCGCGGGTGCACGTGTGGGACATATGCCTACTATCTTAGGTATGATACATCGGAAATATTTGACTCCATGGCCAGCCATTATAGTGCTTGTAAGTAAACTTATAAAATAATTTTACTTACAGTTGAATATGAAAAAAGAAAAAATTGCAACAAAAGTAGAAAAAATGCGCTTAAAGATTTTTACCATTTGAATGTTACGCAGTCAACTCCAAATTACAAGATATGCCGGGATTTTGATATAACATAGCAAACGTTGAAAATTGTATGTTCGTATTGAGAACAATTTATTGACAAAACACATCATAATGGGTGCAAATGTGCAGTACTTATTAAAATGTGTGCTTAACTTGTTTTGACTTTACATGTTATTTTATGAATTTTAATGGGAGTTGTTTGAGGTATGATAAAAATGACACAACAATAGTCCGAGATTATAGGTACTTGCATGTTTCAATTTTTTGTGTGAGTACATTGTTGGATCATGTAAACTGCATTAAGGTACACCCAGTTGCCAGCACTTATGTGTTGACATGAATTATCACTGGAATTGTCATATTTATAAATTAACTGTTTACAAAATTTTGAATTGTTCCAAACACTAAGGATTTTCTTTCCAAGGAAAATATTACCTTAGCTAACCTTTCGAAATTGTTTACCCTCAACGCTTATCAACTTCCTTCTTTGTTTGGCCTGTTAACTCTTTTGATTCGAGCGTCACTGATGAGTCTTTTGTAGACGAAACGCGCGTCTAGCGTACAAAATTATAAGCCTGATATATTTGATGAGGTTTTTTTCAGTATCAATTATAATAAAAGTAGTTTACTACTTGTAGATCTCTAAAAAAAGGTAGTATATATAGTATGTGAACTTGTTTTGAGAAGTCTCTGTTTTGGCAGTCTCCTGGATATATGATTTATTTGCTGCCATTAAAATGTAGAAATAAATCCTCTGCATGTCACAATGATAGTGTCTGTGTGGTACCCTGCTTTTAATTCAAATTACTCGATTTTTTACATTTCAGTTGGCATGGGGATTGGCAATGCTATACACAGGAGGAGTTACCGATATGATGGAGTTTATCAGTTTATTTTCAACGATAATGGGAATAGCTGTTGTATCCTCACTGTTATACTTAAGAATCACAAAACCCAAACTACCAAGACCGTATCAGGTAATATATACTGTATATATTGTGTAGTTTTCAACATTTACACACATCATGTATGCCACAACATTTTTTTTAAACTTTGAAAACAGATTACAAATAGCATTACAAGTAGTTTGGGTATGATATTGAAATTATTCATTTTCAAACCAAATTTATTTTATTTCCTCTTAAATATAAAAATTGGGAGATGCGGTATGATTGCCAATGAGACAACTGTCCACCAGAGACCAAATAAAAAGAAGTATTTTTTTGTTTATGTAGAAATCTAGATATATAACTTAAATGTGTTGCCTCTTGTTTTTTTTAACATAGTTTATAAATGAAGACAAAACTGAGATGCAACGACTGGAAATAACATATATATATATGATTCTGTTCTGCACCCTGCACTCCTATTCAAATTAATAAAAGCAGGGGTGGGTGGAAAGTTTTTATCCTTACTGAAATCCATGTATAGCAATATAGAGCTTAGAGTTAAATTAGATAATTCTTCACTCTCAGAGGTTTTTTCATCTAGTGTTGGTGTGTTCCAGGGGGACAATCTTAGTCCAAGTCTTTTTAATGTATTTATTAATGACATTACTAAGTTATTTGATGCTTCATGCTGTCCTGTATCACTTTGATCACAGTTACTAAATAGTTTATTGTATGCAGATGATTTACTTCTTGTATCAGAATCAGCTGAAGGGTTACGGAATTGTATGAACAAGGTTCATAACTATTGTGAAAATTGGGGGCTTGAAATAAATTATGATAAATCTAAAGTGATGCTATTTAATAAAAGTGGACGGATGATATCTAGAAAGTTTTTTATAAACGACAAGAGTATTGAGTCTGTTTATCAATATAAATATTTGGGTGTTCTATTTAGTTTGAATGGGAGTTTCAAACGTGCCCTCAATGACCTAAATTCTAGAGGTCAGGAGGCATTTTTTAAATTGACTAATATATTAAAAAACACTCCTTGTGACATTCAAAATTTTACATTTATATTTGACCATACTGTGAAACCAGTTGTACTGTATGCTTCTGAAATTCTGGGCATATTTGACACCAGAAAATGTAATAGATATAACAGTGAAAATATATTTGACCAGATTTTTAATACTGTACCAACTGAAAAGATAAATCTCAATATGTGCAGATATTTGCTGAAAGTAAATAGAAAAACATGTAAACTGGCATTGTATGGTGAGCTAGGCCGTTTTCAATTGTATATTGATATTATTATGTCAATGGTTAAGTACTGGATTAGATTGTATAATGATAAACCTAAAGATGCTTTACTGTCAGAAGCATTAGCTGAAAATATTACTATGATAGATAATAACCAACAATGTTGGCTTAGTTGTATAAAATGTATTTTAAATGAATGTGGATTGTCACACTTTTATAAGAATCCAAAATCTATTAAAAATTATTTTTTGTTAGTATTAAGAAAGTGTCTTCAGTGTAAATTTGAAAAACAGTGGCCTCAGCAACTACAAACTAGTGATAAATTGAGAAAATATAGATTATTTAAGAATATTTTTAAATTTGAAAAATATTTATCCGCTGTAACTAAAGATAATGATAGAGTAAGTATGACAAGGTTAAGAACCAGCAGTCATAAACTTCATATTGAAATTGGTAGATACACTATACCAAAAACTCCTATAGATGACAGGATCTGTAAGAGCTGTAATATAAATTTGGTTGAAGATGAGTTACATTTTTTATTAGACTGTCCAAAATTTTCTCATTTAAGGAAGGAGTTAGTCTACAACTGTTTAAATAAAAACATTACTAATACTACAAATATTAATTCTCAGTTTATGTGGTTGTTAAGTAATGAAGACACTGATGTATGCAAAAGTATAGCTAAGTACCTAAACATGTGTTTTTTACTTAGAATAAAAGTGTGAAATTTTTGTTTGCTATTTATAATGTACTTGTCTTTTTACACTAGAGTTAATCCCCCTGGAACACATAACACATAATATTTTGATACTTGTGTAGTATTAATTTTAGTTAGATAGTTTAAATGTTATTCTTTGTTGTATCTATGCTATTAATGATTATGTTCATAATTGAGCTTTCTTTAATAAAATATTTCGTATTTCGTATTTCATATAAACAGAAGAACATTCTAATCTTCTAATTGGAGATTTTATCTGTAAATTTTAGACCATGTTGTTTGTGCCTGTTTCCATGTTCATCGTCAACATTGCTGTGCTTGTACTAGCTATATATCAAAAACCTCATAAGATGGGCATAGGACTAGCGATCTTATTTTCTGGAATACCAATCTACTGGTTTGGCGTGCTTTGGAATCCTAAACCATTGCCTTTCAAAGAACTAACAGGTAATTTTATCATCATTTCAATTTTACAAAAAAAATCTCAGTTCAATCGTAAACGATAAACATGAAAGCCGTTTTAGAATCTGAAAAAGGGGGAAACGTTTTGTAATTACTAAAATATGTTCCTTTAACTTTTGAAAACAAAATTTACCAATCGTAAAAAATCTGATACTTGTTACAGGTAAGTTTGAGACAGAAAACTTTGAAATCTTTTAGAATCGATGTGCCTTTTTAAATATATCTGTTGTATTTCAATTTTCAACTTAGGTTTGATTTCTGTGATTTTGAAATATTCAAAAATAATAATAACGTTTTTTTTTCTTTCAGAGGCTTTGACAGTCTTTATGCAGAAGATTCTTATGATTGAGAAAACGTCTTGATGTCATAATTACTATAGACATCCGACGGATAACTTACAACACCGTGAATTCATATTATCGACAGTGATCTATAGTTCTAAATTAAACGAATTGTATTCAGACGCCGATGTATGTAGACAGATTCCCCCTTTTGCCGGAAGTCTTTTATTTTTTGTCTGTCTTTCCTGTTCCTTTTTGTAAATTTGGAATTATGAAAACAAATGGTATTCCTTTTTCTAGTGATTATAGAAGTATGAAAGTTTATTTATGAACTTTGCATAGCACCCTTTTTGAAAATCCTAGATGTTTTAAATTAAACCAATCGTTCTTCCTAACCTGTCAATCTGTCAATGAAAACGGTAATATATACGACAGACAGGAATATTACGGAAAATTCATTTACACCACACGTCTTTCTATGAACTGTAAAATGTATTACAAGAAGTCTTCATTGAAAATTAATGTTGGATGCGCTACCAAAGTCTTTCAATTAATTATGACATACACCACCATAAGTCTTTCAAACAAATGTCTTTCGATATATTAACTTTGAATTTTTGCATTATTACTGTTAGTGTATATGTTATACTTTAAGTGAAGTCTTTCAAACAAATGTCTTTCAATATATTAACTTTGTATTTTTGCATATTACTGTTAGTGTATATGTTATACTTTAAGTGAAATCTTTCAAACAAATGTCTTTCAATATATCAACTTTGTATTTTTGCATTATATATTACTGTTAGTGTATATGTTATACTTTAAGTGAAATCTTTCAAACAAATGTCTTTCAATATATTAACTATATATTTTTGCATTATTACTGTAGGTTTATATATTATACTTTAAGTGATTTTAAATGACTATAGAATAGATAAATGGAAATTATTACAGGTATTGTTGTCACTGAACCTCATCCTATCTGTATGGCCCCGCCACAAAGTGATCGGGCCATATTGTGTTACTCTTATCCGTCATTCCATCATTTCGCAACGAACAGTTATACGGACTTTTTTCTAAACGCCTTCACATATTGAGCTGATTTTTAGTACATGAGTCTACTATGAAGAGTTAAAGACCGAGTTTACGTTTGGTTTCGCTCCGCTAATTTTTGCCGAAATTATGGGCTTTGGACTTCGAAAATTTCGTGAAAAATAAAAGTTATACGGATTTTGTTTCTAAACGCCTTCACATATTGAGCGGATTTTTAGTATGTGAGACCACTATGACGAGTTAAAGATCGAGTTTACGTTTGGTTCCGCTCCACTGATTTTTGTCGAAGTTATGGGCTTTGGACTTCGAAAATTTCGTGAAAATAACAGTTATACGGATTTTTTTTCTAAACGCCTTCACATATTGATCTGATTTTTAGTATGTGAGTCAACTATGACAAATTAAAGATCGAGTTTACGTTTGGTTTTGCTCCGCTGATTTTTTGTCGAAATTATGGGCTTTGGACTTCGAAAATTTCGTGAAAATAACAGTTATACGGATTTTTTTTCTAAACGCCTTCACATATTGATCTGATTTTTAGTATGTGAGTCAACTATGACGAGTTAAAAATCGAGTTTATGTTTGGTTCCGCTCCGCTGATTTTTGCCGAAAAAATGGACTTTGGACTTCGAAATTTTTGTGAAAATAAGTTATACGGATTTTTTTCTAAACGCCTTCACATATTGAGCTGATTTTTAGTAAGTGAGTCTACTATGATGAATTATAGATCTAGTTTGCGTTTGGCTCTGCTCCATTGATTTTTGCCAAAATTACAGGCTTTGGAATTTGAAAATTTCATGAAAATAACAGTTATACATACTTTTTTTCTAACGCCTTCACGTATTGAGCTGATTTTTGGTATGCTAATCTACTATAATGAGTTGCAAATCGAGTTAACGTTTGGTTCCGCTCCACTGATTTTTGCCAAATTTACCACCTACACCAATTTTAAAATTGACTTATAGCGTATTATCAACAATGACCTAGCATCATACAGCTGTTTTACCGTAGACCCTATCTATAAACGAAAATAACTAAAATTTCAGTATTTTAGTTACCTCCAGGCTCCAATTGCATGAGCCTACGCCTCCTTCTGGCAAAATCATTGAAGCGGAACGAATTTCAGTACGCATGACCTCATAATATCACTGAAGATAAAAAAAAAATCTAATTAACTTCATACACGAGATATTCGCTATGATAATCATATTCTTAAATAATAACAGTTGGGCCGCCCTATATATTGCCTAAGAAAGGATGTTAATTATGTGCGTAGATACAAAGAGGACAACCAAAAACAGTCAGTCGAAGAAAAATGACCATGGTTGAAGATAAAATAACGGAAAGGCAAGCAGTCCGTAAACACTACACAGAAAACTAAAGATATAGCAACATTAACCCACCTTAAACTGATAATATTAGACTCAGCCCGCTTTCGAAGGGTTAATTGTTCCTGCTTCACTAGGGCACCAGTCTATTGCTCATGATAAGTCAAAATTGGTGGTATTTCTCATTGGATGATGTCACAATCGAAGAAAAATGGGCGGTATTATGGCAACAAGTGAACATACACGTGGTCAACTGTAACATATATATAATATTTCTGTTAACCAAATCTTGATGGCGACCGTCAATTTTCGAAGGGATAACTTCAACTTTACCATTAAGGACACTTCTTCGAAAGCTTCATTTTTAGCAGCAGCCCTCTATCAAGGAAATTATAATAGGAAACGTAAGCCCTTGAATATCGTATTAATTTGGAGATCTGAACAACCTTCATTTATACACCACAGAAATTTGTAGCGTTTATCTTCGACCTAGATTTTTACAATATGTACAGTATAGAAATGAAAGAAATTTTAGAGTTAAAATCAACTTATTAAGATATTCGTTTATATTATAGATATCTAAAGTTTTATTTTTCAACAAACAAAAACTCAACAAACGTCAACAAGTACAAAATATATTTAAATACAACATAAGTATAATTATATCAACCCTGCCATTAGAAAGTATATTTAACTCAAGCCTTGCCATTAAAAAGAAAAAAATGAACAAAATGAAATAAAAAAATACATACAAATTTAAAATCTCTATTTTCTTTATTGAAAATTATTACAATTATATGTAATAGAGATCATACGAAGTTTGATCTTGGGCTATATGTTGTTCTTAGATCGACACTGATTGTTTATTCTGCGATACACAATTTTAATTTAAATCTTTAGTGAAGTTTACATAAAATTTTAATGGTAAGATCAGAAAGTTTTCATTGTCAAACTTCACAGCTAACAGTTATTAATGAAAGTCTTCAACATCGCTGTCTCTTTCATGGTGATGGCGGTTATCAGAATCCAAGTCATCATATACGTCAAGAAATCCTTTTGGAACACAGTTATAAAACTTCACCTAGAAAAAATATTGAACACTAATAAAAAATGCTGTCTAGTTTATCTAAATCATCGAGTTACAGAGAAGAATACTGAAACTGCCGTTATATTTTGAAATGCATTCTCTAAATAAATACAGTCCGCACACGACCACCAATTAATTAATGAATAACTGGTGTAAGAGAAACAGTTGTGCATCGGTAGCATGGCTATTAACATTGTTCCTCTAACAAAAATACGTTTACCAAGTGTGCATATGTTCTAAAAGTCCTGGCGTTTAAACCAACCAACCAATCACTCAATGTAAACAAAAATTAGTCCGCAAACTAAAAATATGAAGGTGCCACAACTGAAGAATGATTTAGATATTCATAGTGAGTAGGCGCTAAGAATGTATATCAAACTCTGAACAGTGTTACACTTTTAATATACACGATTGTTTTGCATAAATACACGAATACCACATTGCTCGTAGAGGATAATTATTCAAAAGTCATTTTCCCGAAGGGAATTTATTTCCCAAATTATTATAATTATCTAGCTCAAGTCCAAAGTTACGGCCAAAATTCAAAATCTATAAATAACATCTTGCTTCATTTGTGTTGCTTTTTCTAATGACTGCCATAACAGATAAGAATCAATTATAATTGGTATATAAAAATTAATTTCGGAAGTGTGCATCAGCATCAAATTAACATCAGTTACCTCGTCGATAAATCCTTGAAAATCTGTGCACCCTCCTGCTTGACCTATCACCATAGGATTTCCATTCTTTGCAATACCATCATCTGTAAAAATTAAATATGAACTTTAGCTTTAAGTTATGAATGGTTAGGGACATTGTCTCTTCTTTTGTATTTTTGTTGTTCTAGTCATTTGCGAGTTGCTTTGTGTATATTAACATATACTTTTAACGAGAAAACTTGCTCTCTTTCGCGAATTAAGAAACATCTTCACATTATTTGTATTTGAATTGTTTGGGGCCGACATCACGTGTAATTGGTATACAAGATCTTAGCTCTACATTTAGACAACAAATTAGCAAAAACACGCATGTTTACTACTTTTAATTGAGATTTCTGGATTTTCTTACTATGTCCCATATCGTCTATAGGAATTAACTTAAACAGGCAACTATACCAATATATTTTAAATCCATGACATAGCTATAAACTTATAATCAATTGACCAATATGCATCTACATTTGCTTATCAATGTTTTCACAGAAAATCGGTTTTCCATATTTAAATTTTAGCCTGATACAAACTCACCACATTCTACTGAAGCTGGTGCCATGTTGTTAACTCTAAGTGTCAGCTTATCGTCTGATCTCGCAAAACGGACAAAATGTGCTCTGCTTGGGTTCTAAAAATAGAAAAGTTATCAATATAATGTGTGCGTTGTTAAGGTAGACAACTCTTACAGAAAGTGAAATTATTCGTTTGTAAATCAACTTACGTTATTAAATCATTTATTTCCTTTCTGCTCCGTTATTTACACAGTTTTTACTGTATGTATAAAATCAAAACGATGAACAATGTATTAGGGTGGCTAATACTTACAACACCAAATACTTGCATCTGTATCAGTCGCTTATTTTTCTGTAAAATATAAGCCTTTACGACACCAAGCGCAGGAATGTACGATATTTTATAGGTAGCGCCATATCCATTTTGATCATTCGACATCAAAGCGACTTCTCCTTTGTATGTTTTTGCCATGAACTCAAAGCACAGAGAAAATTCATTGTCCAAATCAATGTTGTTCATGGCCCATATGATTATTTTCCCTCCTTTATTGAAGAGAGCTGATTTCCGGTAAATGGCAACGTTGTTGTTTGGAACTTGCTGTACTCTGTTATACTTTTCCAGAAAATTTCCATTGTATGTGAAGTGAAACATTGGAGAACAACCTGAAAACATTTGATAATGATTAAGTATGGAATCTTTTATATAAATCTTAACATTTCTTAGACTGAAATGAATGAGTTTATGTCAATGAAAACATCTATGACAACGTATATTGCTCTTCATTTGATGATGATGTTCATAACGGATTAGTGGTTAACGTCCAATGGCAAATATTACACGCATAAAAGGACAAGAACATGTTGATGCGCTATGAATTTACATCCTGCTTTGTATTATAGACCGACACATTTAGTAGGATATTTTTAACGTGTTATTTCACAAGGTAACATCCACACGAAGACTTTTTTATCCTAACCTATCCCGGACTCCGAGCCGACTAGTCTTTATTCTAACATGTTAATATCGCGTGCTCAGCGGAGAAGCAGCAAATACCAATATTCAAGTCTTTGATTTGACCAGGCCGTGGATCGACTCCCGACCCCTGCACACGCGCATACGTTAACACGACACCATCGATGTGGTTCTCTTCATTTGAAGAATTTGCATTGATTAAATAGTCCTATTTATTTTCAAGGATTTTTATCTACAATATATGTCCGTGGTATTTCTTATATCATTATCTTTTTCGATGTAATTTCCGTTCTCACAGCACGTATTTTTAGCAAACCTTCATCAGGTATGCTGGTAACCCGTTTTGAAAGACAACGATATATAATACGTTAGAGAGCATGAAAAAATATTAACAGAATAGATACGTTTGCTTGATGGATAGTTGCAAACTTAGTTTTAGTATAATTTAACTATGTTATGAACGGCAAATATACATTTCAATTATGTTTATACCACAGTACTGGCTGCTCGATTATGGTACCCTCGAGAAGGGATAGTCTATCAGCAGCAGTACCTACCCATTAAAGATGATATGATTTACATGTTATATCAACATACTTATAGATTTTGATTTGAGACGCTTTTGGAATCTTTCTTGTAAAGACCACGAACTATCGACAACTAAGTTACAAGTGTGTATTGTATATTTACAGACAATAATTATAATTTAAATTATGGCAATACTATAACACTGGCTAATGTGTATTTTCGAGAATTCTATCGTTTACATAGCAAATATCTGAAAAAAAGTATACACTACTTCTATTTATTTTTCAACTGTGCTGATGGAGATATTGGTTTCTAATCAAAATAACAATTCAGAACTGTTTTCAATTGATCCATTTACACATTCAATGACCACATAAGTTGTGTGCTCCTAATAATTTAGGATAATGTAACAAAACGATGAGTGTTTGGATGGCTGACCTAGTATTCAGGATAGGAATATGTAAATGTAATATGATTATGAATCCTGCTTTGTACTATAGTAATCGTCACGCTAAGTTGACGTGCTAGACATTTCATCCAACCTGAAATCATTATTTTGATTCCAAAGCGACCAGTCTTTCCTCTTATTGCTTAGCAGGCATGCAGTAAATACCAATCTGTAAGTATTTTGTCAGGGATCAAACCCACGACATCCCACACACGCTACCGTTATATTTGTAAAACCATCGAGGCGGTTAGGAAAGGGAAGATGATGTGAATTGTTAGTGAATTCAGATGTAAAATCCCAAAAATTCAAAGATATTGCCGATACAGAAATAATTTGCTTATGAATTCACATTTGAAAACAGAAAGTTTGATATTTATTCATGCAATGGGAATCGAGATCCATCGTTTAGCCGATCAATTGTCTCTATCATTAAAACGTTAGAAATATTCATGAAATATTACCGTGCTTCTGAATTTTCCCTGGAATTATCCAATCACAAGTACACAAGTCAGGTCGATACCACAATCCCCTTGGACATCTCATGGTAGTCAAGGTTGATCGACCGTCATATAGATAGAACTGATCTGGCTTTCCAGGACAAGGGTATGTTGTTCCGAATGAGCAAGCTGAAGTGATCGAGAAACAAAATAAAAAAAAAAGATAATTATGTGAAAAATCATGGTTAAGTCACAAGTATTGCAAGTGTACAATTCGGTTTCATAGCTATGCAAAATATTGGCTACTGCTCTAACAGATTTAAATGGTTTCGTGATAAGTCAGCTGATGGTTGGAAAGACTCTTTCAACTGAACGAAAGATGTACCCAAAACTAAGCTTAGTGCATAATAAAAGCTTAATTTGCAGATGCAATAAACATGTAAAAATTCATCAATCATTTGTAAGACATCTAGTATCATGTAAGAGAGAAATTAAATACTTATTTAATGAATTAAAAAGGATAACCTTTACATGTGCTTGTCTGTAAAAAATACCACATAGCTTTGTAAATTTTGGATATGAAGGGACACAAATAAGTGATCAACTTTTCTCTTTGAAATGTATATTTACTTATAAAGCAACACTTACGATGCTTTAGGTTATCTTTAAAGCAGGTAGGATCAGAGTGGCACGACTTTTTGTGAGCATTGTAGTAAAACCCATTCGGACATGTCAAGTACTTTGACCGTCCATTTATACAAACATAGTAGCCATAGCAACTCTGGCCATCAGCATAACTGTAGCCATGTGGTTTCCTCTGGCAAGGATCTATAATGAAAGAAAATCTGTATAAAATAATGCAGAAATGTAAAGGTAGAATTGAATATATATAGATCGCATTGAATAGTTATGCTACTATCTTATTGTTTTATATGGGTACTATGTAGTATATGAAACTATTCATGCATAAGTCGTAACATTCAGTCTGAGACATTTCTAAAAAGTGTGTAAATACTTTTTGATATGTTATAGTAGTAATTGAAATAATTAATGAAAATTAATATACTTATTTTAGACTTTAGAACAAAGTTATGGACGAAAAAACATTTTTTATAAAAAAATTCATGTCTAAAAAAGGTCAAATAATACCATAAGGACAGTGCACTTTTTCTGCATGTCGACATTCATTTCCGTCGTAGAATGCTCCTGCTGCACAGCTTTGTTGATGTGGAACACCTTCTTCGTCGCACTGATAAAATTGGTCGCAAGTTCCGGGAGTAGGTTTATAAGCCCATCCATTATATATTGTCCTTTTGTCACAAATTCCTCCAAACTTTTCTGAAATATGATAAGAGTGATCATTTCACTTCAAAAACCCTGAACGCCTGATTCAATTGTATTATGTAATACAAAATATAAAATATAAAGGTATAGCTCCAACACATTTACCATTTTGATCATTATTGAAAGTCTATATGTACAGTTGAAAAATAACGTTCATTGAAGAAGAATGTGTTTTGATGCTTGTTGAATATGAAACGAATATCATTATTGATTATGAAAACTGTGTCTATCCACAAACGGCGTTTATAGAATAAGATAGGTTTCATCATTTATAATAATTAAGTTTAATGACTTTATATTACAGATATTGAAATGTTTGAAATGTAAAACAGTACCTGCTAATAGTCAATCCAGAAACACGCGTCGTGAGCACGCAGTTAATAGCATACCTTATTGTGTTAATATTTAAAGTATACAACAAAATGATTATACTGGTTAAAAATAAATTTTTGAATTTCTTTTACTCATTCTTACCTGATTTTTCGAATTTGAAATAATCATCCTCGTAAGCTGTAGCAAGAATAAAACAAACACAAAATACAATATAAAATTTCATCACTATAAACTAAGACCTACTGGTTATCAACAGATTTCTATAAACTGGTAAAAAAAATACAAATAATGGTTATATAGGGCGGCATGAAAAAAGAAAATTTCCATTACCATAAACATTTTCTGAGTCTGGACCGCCTGTGTCCATGTGGCTAGTTTACAGATATTTCTTTCAATTAACAAGGATAATGTTATGATTTTAATGTGTATTATGCAAGTATACAAGGTTGTCCATTTAGGGACGTATTATTAGCCGTAATCTGTTTATGTTTTACAATATTATTATGTAACTTATTATCTTTGATGTATTTACCTGTTATTGTTGAGAAAAATCCTGATGATGGTGTGTGCATTTTTATTTATTTTTTTTTGGGGAGGGGGGGGGGTTACGTTATTTGTGTTTTTTTTTTTATTATGAATAAAAGGAAGTGTGGGCAAATGTGATTGGGACAGCAACCCAAAGACGTTTAAAGTTTTGGTTCTTTTTCTTTAATGATTTTTTTATGAATGTTATATCCTAGATAAAATAACGATAAAATATTTAAGATAATAGAGACAACTATAAAGATAGATACTAAGGGAAAATGAGCAATAATTTCTTCTATTTGAGTATATTGTTTTATTTTCTTCTATTTGAGTATATTGTGTTATTTTTGACATATAATAAAATTCCTTTTTAGGTGTATATTGATGTACAAGTATTCCATCAGACCCATCCTAAAAAAAAATCTAATCAATTTTATCATTCTTATCATCTTACATCCATTCCACTGAAATATGAAATAGTCTGATTATAAGTTTATTGTTTACCCTGTAAAAAAACGCTCAAAATACTTTTTAGTATTGAATTAAAGTTAATGACATATACTTTACAAATTAATATTTCGACATAGAATAAAATAATGAATATGATTCGCATGTGTATCTCTCTCTCTCTCTCTCTCTCTCTCTCTCTCTCTCTCTCTCTCTCTCGTATAAAAATAACAAGAAATTATATCTATCCATTTTAAATTTTCTTACGTAGACTTCGTTTACATTCCCGTTGTGTATCTCTCTCTCTCTCTCTCTCTCTCTCTCTCTCTCTCTCGCTCTCTCACTCACCCTCTCTCTCGTAGAAAAATAACGAGAAGTTGTATCTATCCATTTTAAATTTTCATAAGAAGACCTCGTTTACTTTCCCGAAATATGAGAGTGATTCTTTATATGGACCATGGTTTGTTTAAACTGAACGTAAAATAACGTGAAATTGCATACATGTGTGTTTCGATTAATCGTGTAAGTATATAAACTCATCATAGATACCAGAGTTAAATTTCGTATACAAGACACGCGTTCCGTTTTCAAAGACTCACCAGTACGCTCAAATAAAAAACAAACGTTAAAAGGCCAAAGAAAGTACGCAGTTGAAGATTTAAGGTCCGAAAATTCCGACATGTCAATATAAAACTTCCATGGTTTAACAATATTTAATAATAAATATCTGAATAATTATCGATGTAATTATTGTTCCAGTAAATGGATAAAGGACAGAACGAACGACATTTCAGTACAAATGACATTGCTGGAATTCATTTGCATGAATAAAAGTATTTATTAGGTGAAAATCAAGCTCTATTTATTTTCTTACATTTACTTTTATAGAATACTGAGTTACACAAATAACCAACTATTTGATTTTTTTATTAACTTGTAAAGACTAAGGTCTTTGACATTTTCTGAAATGTAAACTATTTTTATTGTACACGTCTTATATTTATTGCTATTAGTTAATCGTATAATATACTTGAAAAGAAACCATTCATGCTTCTTCGAGAAAAACATATTCGAACCTTTTGACGTGTAAGAATACAAAATATTAACACCAAAAACTTGAATTAAAATAGTTCTGTTTGATTTAACTTTCTTAAAGGTTCGCGACCCGTATAATTATTTAATTTAACTCGCTGTGCTTTTCCACTCGTATGGTCAAAATAAGAGCAAAAAGTGTATGACATATAGTTGAAAGTATGCTTATTCAAGTTCTTACGGAATGATGAGGACGGAATTTTTACACCTGCAATATTTGCTTGTTGCTTATGTTTATAAAGCTACTAATTGTGAAAGATCTGACAAAATAACAACAGCCACAGTAAGTTTAAGTGTACATGATATTTGAGTTAGATTTCAATATGTATGTTTGTAGATCTGTGCCATAGAAACTTTCACGTATTTCCTACATTACAATATTTTCCTCTGTGAATGACTATAGACGAACTATTTATTGATAGATATAGATATTATTTTTCATTGAGTTATTTTGAAAGCTTTTGTAGAAAAGGATGTGGTGGTCAATTACACCACAAAAAACAGCAACGAAGACATCCGTTTTCGTTCTTTTACATCCTTGATTTTCACCACAAGTTTGTGTTGGAGCATTCCTTGGTGTATTCAGATTCTTTATTATTAAGATAACTAATGTTACATTAGTGTTCTCCATTACAAATCATATAATAATATACAAAACAACATTTCAAAGTTTCACATGTAATATATATATATATATTTAGACCCCTCTACAAAGAAATTTGTTTTGCATGCACACGTATAAAAATTGCGGTTTTTATCCAACGCAATCATAGGTTTGAACGTTGTTTTCAATTTAGACTTGTTTATTTTTTCGTTTGGGCTTGTATTATATTTACCTTCGGGTTTATATGATCCGTTCATCCTATTTCGACTCTTCAAAATTCAAGAGTCAATCCCAAATTGAGGTAAATTATATGGCCTTCCAATTACCGTTTTGATTCCTAACATCACTGAAGAGACATTAATTGTCGAAATCCGGATATGGTGTACAAATTTTTGCACCTCATGTTTGCGATATACCATCTTTTCCGCAAGTTTATTGTTTTCTGTTTGGTATTAAATTAATATAATTAAGATCCATTGTGTTACATCTGTGATCCGTTTACTTGGCAATCGCCATGGCTGTCCGCAGGGTTTAAGAACATCCGTTGTTCGACCTGCTAGTCAAATGCGTTTTGTTAAAATATACTTTTTCACTTTTTTGGTCTTTTGGAAAATGTTGTTTGTGCTGTATTTAGACCCCTCTACAAAGAAATTTGTTTTGCATGCACACGTATAAAAATTGCGGGTTTTATCCAACGCAATCATAGGTTTGAACGTTGTTTTCAATTTAGACTTGTTTATATTTTTTCGTTTGGGCTTGTAATATATTTGCCTTCGGGTTTATATGATCCGTTCATCCTATTTCGACTCTTCAAAATTCAAGAGTCAATCTAAATTGAGGTAAATTATATGGCCTTCCAAATACCGTTTTGATTCCTAACATCACTGAAGAGACATTAATTGTCGAAATCCGGATATGGTGTACAAATTTTTGCACCTCATGTTTGCGATATACCATCTTTTCCGCGAGTTTATTGTTTTCTGTTTGGTATTAAATTAATATAATTAAGATCCATTGTGTTACATCTGTGATCCGTTTATTTGGCAATCGCCATGGCTGTCCGCAGTGTTTAAGAACATCCGTTGTTCGACCTGCTAGTCAAATGCGTTTTGTTAAAATATACTTTTTCACTTTTTTGGTCTTTTGGAAAATGTTGTTTGTGCTGTATTTAGACCCCTCTACAAAGAAATTTGTTTTGCATGCACACGTATAAAAATTGCGGTTTTTATCCAACGCAATCATAGGTTTGAACGTTTTTTCAATTTAGACTTGTATATATAAATATATATATATATAAAATAATACAATTGTACCCATATTTTTAAGAATTGTTTCTTATTTCTAATGCATCTCTAATAAATTTGTATAAATAATTACATTCAGTAATATTTTGTGGATTTAAAAGTTTAGAAACTGAAAAATAATCATTACACAAATCTTTTAAATCTAAACCATAAGATTGGAAAAAAGTTTGCCTTATATCTTTATATTTATCACAAGATATAAAAAAATGTTCTTCAGTCTCTACTTCAGTGCAAAATTTGCAAAAACGTTGTTCTCTTGGAATTTTGGGTTTATTATATCTACCCTGTTCTATATTTAAACAATGAGCACTGATACATAGTTGTGTAATTTTACTTTTTATATTTTTGGTAAGATTGGTTTGAAGATAAGGGAACAAAATTTGGAACAAAAATATTACTGAAAAGCACCAGTTTACTGTCCACAGCTCCAGATTTGATTTTTTGTAGTTGTAAGTCAGATTGCTGACTATAGTATCTTATCAGACTATTTTTAAAAACACTATTATTTGTCAAATTTTTTGTATCAAGTTTAAGTACTTTAAATACTTTATTTAGTGTAGAAAACCAGCATTTTGAGTTTTCATTAGATAATTCTTGATCTGCAGTAAATGCACTATATAATAGTCTACCTCTATTTATTTTAAGTAGTCTCATATAATAATTATACATTAAACATAATGATAAAATCAACATTGGATTCCTGTTACATTCAAGTCTACTAGCCATATTTGATGACTGTCTTTTGACCCCCAGAATAGATTTCAACATCTTGTGTTGTAATCTATCAATTGGTAGATTGTTAAAATTATTTAAATTTATGTTATAATCGGATAACCATATTTCACTACCATATGTGAAAATAGGTTTAATTAGACTATCAAAAAGTTTAAGACAGGTTTTCAATGGTACCTCTTGGAAATTATTAAATTTACGTAATTATAGAAAAACACTTCTTACGAATAAACTCTATAAAGTCACTGTGTTAGTTTCTTTAATCCATTAACACTTTAACTAATTAAAAGTAAAAAAAAAAAAAAAAGCGTTGCCTGATCTTTCACGATAAATTTTGATTTAAAAATTCAAAATCCTACTTTTTTAAAAGCATTCTGGATCTTTTCAAAGAAAGGTAAACTTTACATTTTACTGTACAAGTCATGATATATTTGTATGTGACCATTATAGATTCAAAAAGTGATTCTTCTTTAATGATTTGCATATGATTGTGGATCGACTCTCCTTTTTTGGGGGTTTTCTTACAA